TGAGTGTGACTTTGGGGGAGAGGAGGCAGCCGAGCCCTTTGGCGGGAGCCTCCCGGGTCCTCAAATCCTTGTCCTTCCTCACTGGGCACTGAGCGGGGATCAGCACCTTGTAAGTGGGGACCGGCATCCTCCAATCCCACCCTGGGCACGTGGAGCAAATGCTCCTGCCACCTCAGAGACAGCCCTGCAGAGTGTGGGGACAGTCCTGGGACGGGGGCCCTGGCTGTGCAGGCCCCTCGGGTGCCCTGATTCCTCTGGTGGCCTGAGCCTCTGGGAGCAGAGGGAGGGAGGAGAGGAAGGGAGGAGCGCAGGCGTGGGGAGCACCTCTGAGCTCTGCTCCCCAAGGCCCCTAGTGCAGCCCCAAGGCCCACCTGTCCTCGCCCAGCCACAAGCCAGCGAAGATGGGTCTTCCCGTCTGTGCTGCTCCACGGGGCTGGGCAAGCCCCGCTCAGGCAGGGTGTGACCCGCTCCTGGGAGCTGGTGCTGGGAGAGAGATCACTGGGAAGGCTGTGGCCTGCACGCCTCAGAGGCTCTGGGTGGGACTGCAGGTGGGGCAGGGAGCCATGGACAGAGCACACTGACCATGGATGTCATGTGATCTTCTCCAGGGACACTCAGGGAAAGGCCAGGCCCACTTCAGCTCCAGGGCCCAGGTCTCTTCTTTTGCATGGCTCTAGGCCCCATGTGTCCTACCTTGTAGGGTCACAAAGGACCATGTCCTCTTCACTGTGCACCCCTGTTACCACGGGGGCCCCACGCCTGTCCTCCGACCTCCCCCACATCCAGCCCCTGCTCTCTGCAGTTTGCTTTCCTGCACGATCCTGCGTCTCGGCCTCCCTGAGGACGTCTCTGTAGGAAACCCAACTGCAGAGAGCTCAGCCCTGCACAGGACAGCGGGCCTGGGCCGCCAAGGCTGAGCCTTGAGCTGGCTTCCCTTCTCCACCCGCCTGGGCCACGCCAGAGCCTCTCGAACGCTGAGCCTGCGTGTCCCTAAGTGTCAGACTTCACTGTCACACCAGTTCCTGAGGGCATGTGGAGATGGCGATCTCCCCTGCAAACACCATTGGAAGTTATTCTAATATTCCCAAATGGAAACCCCTACCTACTAGACAATTGCTCCTCCACCCCACAGCCCCTGGTCCCCCACGGAGCATGGAGGGACTGGGGACCTGGACGAGGCAGAACATCCCAGGTCCCAGAGACAGCACCATGCAGGAAGGAGCAGGGAAGAGAGCAGCTCCCCTGGTGGCTGTTGGCAGGTACCAGGTGACAGCTTTCTGTGGGCCGTGCTTTTATTGCTCTAGTCCCCAAGGAACTGAGGTGCATCCAGCACCATCCCAACCAAAGACCCAGAGAGGGGAAGAATTCCATTCAAGGGACTAAAGTAGGGTAGAGACGCAGTGCTGGCCCCAGAGCCATCTGCTTACAGGGAGGGTCATCCTGCACCTGGGAATCCTGGGGACACACTCTGAGGGTACAGAGGACCTGGCTTCCCTAAGACTCCAGAGGTCAGTGAAGAATCCACAAAGCCTTGAACAGCTGCAGGGAACATGTAGGGGGCCGGGCAGAGGGGACCTGGGTCTTCCATGTCTCACAAGCTGCATTTCTATCCCCCATGATTCCCCACCCACACGTGGGCGCTCTTATCACCTCTGGAGTTAGCTGCTCTGGGCACACTGGGAAGCCAGTGAGAGGAGTGTTATCTCATTGACCCCATGACAAGGAGCCAGGTGACAGGCATCAGGCCTTCTGGGAGCACAAGCCAAAGCAGAAGCCACAACCTGAGCACGTTAGGGTCGAAGGTAGGGACAGGGAAGGGATGGGTTTGAGGGTGGGGCACGGAGGGCACACTGTTTACTACCTCACCCTGGCATGGGAGCTCCTGGTGGCACCGGGCTGGATTCAGCTGTGACAACAGTGACACCTGAGCATCAGCCTGGAGCCCGCAGGTGTCAGGGAGGCCGTGTTGACAAAGGAGAATCAGGCTGGAGCTCCAAACACCCCTCACTCCTGTCCCAGTCACAACCTCAGGCTTTCTTTCTGGGACCCTTGGAAGCAGCCCCCATAGTCACCCCCATGTGTGT